CATGATGTTTCTGCTTAGCTGCTGTTGTTCCGCCTCCTCTTCCTTTTTAGCTGCTGTAGCCTCTGGACTGGTTAAGAGTTTAAGCAGACCACACCATTAAGAAACCACACATAAACCATGTGTTCCCATTTGCACATCATATTAAACCATATGAAGATTATGCAAGTTATGAATCTTTTAAAAATGAGGTACTAAGGTACCTCAGTTGCTTGAGGAGGTAAAAGTATTTTCTCCTTGCCCCATAGCTCCAGGATACATGAAAAAGGAAGGGGGAGGAAAGGAAATGTATTTGTGTTTTGTCTGCCTGAACAAACTTCACTGAAATAATAATCATTCTCCCAAGATGGAAGAACTGTGCCAATGGTCTTGTTTAAATGTTAAGGGCTCCCTTTATTTATCTGTAAGGGTTGTAAAAGGTCCATGACAGTGCAGTGACTGATAACCAAATACTAACAGGTTTATCATCAAATCCTGCCTACCAGGCAGAATGTTGCAGTTATTAAGGAAAATGAGGCACAAATGGACTCTAATATTTGAAAATGCAGCAATAAAAGACTAAGGCTCATTGCAGAGATTCTGGACTTTTGCTAAAGCTTTTAGACTTCAATTGCTATTTGGGGTACCCTGTATCCTTCAGGCAAAAAAATGCACTAAACATTTGGAGAAGTTCAGCTGCAGCTCTAGATCACTTAAAAGAAACTTGCATAGGACAAGTTCCCATGAGATTGTTTCTCATATGCTCTAAAAAAACCCTGTCAAATAATCAATGTTTTGCTATAGTAGTCCAGCATGATCAATTCAGTTGCATATCTGCCCCTATCTCAGCAGAACAAGTTATTTGAAAATTCAGATATATGTGGATTATACTTATAGATATTTGTGGGGCTATAGCTGCTTGTTTTCCAGCTGTGTTAGAGATATTTGCAGCTTTTAATCAAGACATAAGGTCAAAGAAACAGTTGGGTTTTCCTCCCTCTACCATTACTAGAAATTCCCAAAAACAGCCTTTCCCAATCAGATGTTCTCCAAATGGTCAGCTGGTTTGGCATTCTGACTGGTAATCCTGGACTCCGACACTTCTAGCTGGCACCGCCGAGGAAGGATGCCCTATACTGCAGTATCCATGTCAATTTTCTGATTGCTTCATATACTATATTATCCTCTGATCAGAGCTGCTTGCTAGGCCCCCAGGGTTCCCTTTGCTCTGGTTTCAGACCAGTCCTCTGACTTTTGACCTCCTTTACATTTGCTTGAGTTCCATCTTGGATTCCAGCGCCTGCAGGGCCATTTAGCTTTAATAATTGCTAACTATTAGTAGGAAAAAAATGTTGATTCAACCCAGAATGTGCTCTCTGATTTGTGTCCAGCTATATATAAACAGGTTTATGATAGGCATTGTGCTGCATTAGAGTAGAACTTCCACAATCCATTCAACTGGAACATCGAGAGAGATGTTTTCCAAACATTTAGCTGAAAGTGCTTTCACCAGCTTTCTTTTTATTTCATTCCAAAAAGAATGAAAGAAGCCAACTCCTAAATAATTATCTGTGAGCAGTACCACTAGGAATCTAGCCAGCAGAAATGCCTAATCCTCAAAGGTCCCTGATATTTGTCAGAATTGTTGTCACAATTAGAAGAAAGCTAGTAGATTTCTTTAAACGGAAGTAACAACAATAACTGATTCTTCTGTCTCCTGGCCAAGCAAATGATCTGTAATGATCTTAGGGGTTAGATCAGACAATAATAAGGATAACATAGTTATTCTTAGAGCTAAATGCACACAGGAGATTAGGCATTATTTATCAAGGTATATTATGACATTTATTTGTGCAACAAACCAGCATTTGCCTACCCCAGAGCCAAAGAAACAGTGGGCTCCAGCAGGGATGAGAACACGTAGAACCTCCCATTGCTTTTGAATCTTTCCTGAGGATACTTTGCTGTGAAGAGAAAAAATGCTCACGATATTCCTTCAGCAGCCAGCTTATAAGAGAGCCCAGCCTGCATGTTTTGAGAATTCCAGATGAGCCCATCAGCCCCAGACAATTGAGGACAGTGTCTCCATAACATGTTACAAAGCTCAACTTGTGTAAACATTAACGTTCACAACCATTCTGAATTGGAGAACTTGGGATAACGTGAAAACTGGACATAAATTCTATGATATGACTTAATGAAAGGAGAGTCTCCAATTTATTTTAGCCTTCTGGCAAAGTTGTGAATGAGAAGTTTCTTCTGGACCACATTCCAAACAGTGAAGGGAGAAGGTCTGATCTCTTCTATCTCCTAGAGGAAATGTGATCTCATGGGTGCCTATGGAAGGGTGGTGCCCTTATACTGTTGGAAATGTATTTGTATAATAATCAGTATAGATTCTGGGGAAGCCAAAGGGGCCAATTGATATATTCAAGAGAATGTGTAGGAAATTGGTCCAGAATTCATACATAATACATTTGAGCATTTCCCAGAGAAGTTGCAACAGGAGACAGGTGAAGGGATGTTCATGTGAGCTGACAAAGGTGTGGAGTATTGTACTCTCCTGTATCCATCTTCTTGGGCATGACTCCAGGGTTTTCTAGCATATTTTGTAATACCTTGGACACATGGCTGAGCACGATGAAGCTGTCTTCCATTTCCTCAGTGACAAAATGATGGAAATTCAGTTGCTGTTCTCTTGTAAAATATTTCAGATACATATCTTGACTGTTTTTAGCTCTGATATCCTCTGTCAGGGAAGAGTGACGTGATCTTTTAAAAATGCATATGTGAAGTTGAAGGCATATGAGTAGAACAATGATGATCTGTGGGGACGGTGCCTCTTGTTCATCTTGCCAGCCTGTGCTCAAAATCCATCTCTCTCCCCAGTCCTGCTGCTGCCAACCCCTCTCAGGCTACAGCTTTCCAGGAATTTCTCCCCCCCAAGTACTGTTATTGGCATCCTCTTGGGAATGGAGGATTCCTTCAAAAGAGAAAAGGAACAGGCTGGCAGCGACAAGTACCAAATGCTGCTGCTTCTACACATTGCTTAAATCGCAGGCCCAGCTGATTAATCATACAGTCAGGCTGCTTTGAGCTTACCACTTTCCTTAATAGCTGAATAATTTAAAGCCTCTGTTTGTCAGCGTCTTAATTGCTTTTGCATTAGACACAAGAGCCACCATGAATGCAGAATGGGAATAACCCCAGTAGGTTCCTTTTATTTCTCTCATTTGGTATCTCTTTTGAACTGGCTTATGGGCGTTAAACCTGGCTGCAGGCAGTATATTTCCCATCTGCTGTGGGGAACCAAGGGGACAAATGCCTGTCATGGGACACTGATTCCTATTCTTGGGAAGGCTTTAAGGTGGGCATAACATTGTCACCCATTCAAAGATGTCTGCCTGAGATGGGGAGTGCTGGGCAGGACCTGGGGACCTAGGGACAGTTTGACGTGATGAAGGCAAGACATTCTGTGTTTATCTCTACAGAGTGAAGGTGGGTAAAGTAGGCTTTCTAGAGTTCTTCAGTTGTTTTGGATTCCAGCTCCCATCAGCATGACTAATAATAACACGAGCTTACTTATCTCTGAACCATGAGTATAGCGTGCTGAGGGATGCAGTAGGCAGAATCACCAGGACTACAAAGTGGTAAGATCACATTTAAAAAAATGTTTTAAATCCTCAAAATGCAAACAAAAAATTGCCTTCCTTAGTTGCCCTGTGGATATTTTAAAAGTGTTGCAAACCACTTTACTAAGCCTTCAACCTACACTAGTAAATGTTGCTGGGGTGTGCACCAGGAGGGAGGGGGCACATTCTTGACTTCCACACTACAATGCCATCACTTTCTCAGATTGGACTCTACCAATATGCATGGAGAGATGTGGGTTGAGTTACCAGCCAGCACTTCCCCATCCTCTTCTGGGTCTGAGCTGGTCATCACACAGCCCTAAAAATTAATTGTTACATCTGGTAGTAGAACTGAATTCAAATTCCTGATAGTTTGTAGGTACTTTATAGGAAGTCTCTCTTTTATTAATTTCTCTCTCTCTCTCTCGCTCTCTCTCGCTTTCTTTCTCTGTATATTAATACAATACAATACAGTACAAATACATTATATGAGACACGTCATAGATTATACTATGCCAGAGGACTAATTCTTTATTGTACACACTATTCGAAGGGATTCATATTTTATGGTTATTTCCTTTTAGAAACAACAAACAAACAAAAGGTCTCAGTTTCATCTTATTCTAGTCTAAGAGCATCTCGCGTGGCTCTGTGTAGAATGTTTTTCAATGTAGTTATTGAATCTGATGAGTTAAATCATTTATACCACCCATGTCTCTTTGGACTACATCTCAGACATAGTCAATTGATTATCACTGCTCTAAATAAATACTTCAGTTGATGTTTGATTATATAAACCCATTTATGCATGGTATTTTCATGAAATCATTACCTTGATAATAGCACTGATAGTGTCCTTCACAGCTGGCCTTCTGCCAGGAGGCAAAAACATTTATTTTTAAACAGGTGTTTGGCTTATAGAGCTGATTTGTTTTCTCTGCTGCTCTGAATTTTAAACTCTATTTTAATTTAACGATGTTTTAAGGGGCCTCTTTTGGGGTATGCTCCTATTTGATTTTTAGATGGTTTCAGTTCTTTCGACTATTATTGGGCACTTCAGGCATCTCTGATAGAAAGGTGGTCTGCAAATAAACAATATAAACAAGAGGTCAAGGAATGGTCACACTGAAGAGAGACAGTCTGCGTGCAGCTCATTCTTGTGATAAACTGATGATAATCAGCTCCACAAAAGATGTCGGGCATTGCCAGGAACAATCCTTCAGCTGATGTCACTCTTCACAGCTCTCCTAATGGAGTGCATATATCCTACTAATGGAGGGTATATATCCTTTCACAAAAGCAACTCACATTCTTTCCTTGGCAGAGAACAATCACATCCATCAAAGAGATCTCTAGACCTTAAGCACACTAAACTTGTTTCCTCTTTTGCAGCCACTGTAATTCTCAATGAACTGAATTGGACGGAAGCCTTGGAGGATGTGTTTGTGGAAAATCGAAAAGAAGACCCATCTCTGCTGTGGCAAGTCTTTGGCAGTGCTACAGGGGTAACCCGCTTCTATCCAGGTTTGTACCATTCTCAAGTGACGGAGTGAAAATAGAATTTGAACAGTAGCATTACATTTAAATAATTGGGATTTGAACATAGAGCTGTTACAGTGGGAGTAGCAGCACAGTCCTGGCTTTCACACTAGAAGAAGTACAGTACGCTACTTTCCCAGTCATCCTCTGCCATTGTTAGGGAAGGACCGTTGTTACTGTTCCTCCTAACAAGATGGATAAGAGCTTCTTGGCTGGAGAATAATGAAGGCTGTTCCTACTTTCCCTACCCTTCCTTTCTGTTCTGGATATCAAGGTATGGCCTGATGTCAGCCCCACTAAGTAGACCAGACCATGAAATCAACTCCACAGGAAGGCTAAAAGTACTTTTACTGAGACTGGCTACAATATCAGAATCTTGCAAGTGTGATTGTACTGTATCTCCTCCTCCTCCTCATACTGCAGTGAATTAGGGAGGCATCTGCCTGAGCCACTTCCTAATGTTAACTCATTTAAAAAAATGCTTCAGCCCCTTTTGCCTAGGTAACAGTTCCTGCATATGTCCATCAAAGTCAGCTTCCTTACTCTCTATACATGGTTGTGATGTTGGAGAAGGAGGCTGACTGGTCCTCTTCTTCTCTGCCCTCCCCCAAACATTTGAATGATTCTAAGAGGCAACATCCATGGGCAACCTTTAGGGAATCAGCAAGGCCCTCCACAGATGTTTGCCTAACAGCTCTATGTCCCTTTATTTGCCTGCCTTTTCACAAATATCTGGGACTTTTATACATTGACCATTTAATTTCCACAGTGGCCTGGACCACATTAGGGATGTTATACAAATTAAAATGCAGTCTCTCCTGAACCCAGCCATCTCCTAAGCACATTTGAACCCTCCTACCACTGCCGCTCACTTTACTGCTGTTGTCCTTGCTTTAAATGTCCCAGTCAGGAACATTGCCCATGACCCGTTTGGAAGCACTTAGCATTTTTGGCCAGGGCCAAGGGCCATGCTGGGCAAAGAGGGGATGTCTGTAGGGGATATCATGGATTGGAGGAATGGAATGTCTAGCAGGACCTGGGAAGAAGGGAGAGGAAAAGGGACCACCGCTGAAGAATCATTTCAGCCAGGGGAGGGGGAAACATGAGAAACAGGCCCAAAGCAATTCTACCTTCATTTCAGTAGGCACAGAATGATCTGAAGAAGTGCCGTAGTGGGTTTGCAGGAGCCTGGATTTTGCTGTACTAGCAATAAAGTTCTTTGCAGAAATCCCAGTGGTTCTTGTTTCCTGAGTTTGCCTCCCTTGATTTGGAGAGGACTAGAACATCGAGGTTCATTTTTATTTTTTTATTTATTATTAAATATGAATGCCGCCCAACTCCCAACGACTCTGATCTGAGTTTTGAAGAGGAATGTGAAGCCTTTTGAAAAATTCTGTGAATCCTTCTGTAAGAATTACACTACAGTATCCACCCCAGAATGGTGAGAAATCACACCATCTGTTTTCAGCATTCATGCCACTGATTTTTAGTAGCACAGCCCCAGGTATTCTGCAGGCCATAAAAAATTAGACTGCAAGCCTATATGAAGCCCTGAGGCTGCTGGCTGCCCTCCCCAGACCTACTGGCTGTGATGAAGTCATATTTTCTGTGCCTGAAAATGCTACTCTGAACTTCTGAGAGGAATAAAAAAATATAAATGGCAATAAACATATCATTCATATGAAACTTCAAAGAACTCTGGGGCGGGGGTAGAAAGGTTCTGTCAAAAGTCCCAAGGTCCAACTGCTGGTTAAACCGGGAAGCCAAGTTTTATGCAAACTTCTGTCCCCCACTGGTGTATATACTTTATAATTATTTATCAAAATAGCAAAATGTGTATTTTCAAAGGAGGGAGAAGCAAAGAGATTTGTTTGACTGAAACATTGTTAATTGCTTTCTAATTCACAACATGTTTCAAAACAAAGAACAGCATTTGAAGTGTGCAAAAAAAAACAGAACCTGAAACAAAAACATTCAGATTAATGTGGGCCTGGACCCATTCCTTTTGGGGCCAGTGCATTGTGAGAATAATGAGTATTTGAATAAAACAGTTACAGCTGTTTCTCCTCCCAGTTTTACTTTTTTCAATGGTCTGTGTTTTTGTGGCTTAATACCAGTCTTGGCAGAGAAACCTTTATATGTCAGCTTTGCTCTCTCCCTTTCACTCCTCAAGTCCCCTCATGTCAACACGTTTGGTACCTCAAAAATCATTACAGTTTTCACTGCTTCTTCTCACTGCAGCTTCCCCATGGAGAGCCCCCAATAAGATTGACCTGTATGATGTCCGAAGAAGGCCTTGGTAAGTAGGGGAGCATAGTGGAGTAGGCGGTTATTATGTTGCATATTTCAGAAAGAATAAAACAACTTAGCATCTGAGTTGAGAGCAGTGGGCCTGCTCAAAATTTAAATGAGTTTATTTGTTACTGTTATATCTTAATCTTCCTCAGAGAAAATCATAGTCCCTTATCTCAGTCTTCCAGGAAACACCTTTCTCTGGCATTGTACAGGTAGAGCTGAGACATGCCTAGATTTAACAATAACACTATGTTGTTGTTTTTTCAAACGCCTAAGTCAAACAATATGCAGTTTCAATTTTTATCAAGATGATCAATCAGCTGCTATCCCCTAATGGTAGTAATGTACATAGTTTGATATGAAGACTATCCATACTCAGGGCCCGTGGACTGTTGTGTATGTGATTTGCTGTTCTATTTTTCCCTCTCCAGTCAGCAGATCAGTACATCCTTGCTAGTGTACTGGAGATACACTTAAAACAGCAAAGAACAGAAAGGGGTAAGGTCACTAAATGGAGCACATGTATTGCAGAAGTAGAGGAATTATATTACATCAAATAGATATTAGCAATAGCTGTAGATGACCCAAACCAGAAGAGGTCCCAGTAGCCGAGGGGATTGTGGCGGTTTAATATATTATCCTCCATTATAGTCCTAATCTAGATTGGGAGGAGGGTTGCTTGAAATTTCCATTGCCAGAAATGATTCAAATATTTCTTTGAATGAATCACTTTTTGGCCAGTTTAAATTGTAGACATGGGGAAGATAAAACTACCTCTCCCCCACACAAATTAAGATCTTGAATTATATTGGGTCCCCAGGCTCAATTCAGATTTTTTAAAAATGCTGTAGCTCCCCTATACTTTTGAAGTAATGTGCAGTTCATCTTTCTGGCACCTTTCTTTAACCGCAGCAGTTGCATGAGAATTAAAAGTATTAGATTGAGAAAGTAGGGTTCCACTTTTCCAGCAACAACTTACTGCAGTTTGATTACCAGAAAGATGCAATATTCACTTCATAATAAAATGCTGCTTATGGGTCTGGATCCTCTACATCAAATGAACAAGACACATGCATTTATTCACTGGGCAAACAAACAGTTGTCTGAATGGATCCTTCAGCAATATGTTAAACAACAATATCCATGGGAGGGAGATAAAAAAAAGGCAAGATAGAAGATGTAGTGTTGCAATACAAGCCTCAGCTCTTTCGTATGTTCTTTGACTTTGCATCACATCTACCCTCTTTTGACACCTTCCCATGAATGCCAAAGTTCCAAAGAAAATAATTGTACAAGATCTCTCAGGGACAACCTCTCCTGTTACTTTGTCTTTGCTCTGTTTCAAAAAAAAAAAAAAGAGTAGATGGTATCTCCACCATCTCATTATTTGTGTTTCTGAATACCAGACATACACTACAGTTTTGATTCAAGTTGGTCTCTTGCGAGTTCCACTCGTTTCTCTCATACAGTACCCAGGCAAAGTTGTAAAGAAACCTTGTGATACCACCAGGAGTCCTTGGCCATCTTAAAATGTTACATTTAATCAGAAATCCTGACCTAATGTGCCACAATGTCAGCAAGTACTATGCTAGTGAATCCAGCTTCACTTATCCTTTACAACCAGGCAAGCAAACCAGGCAGGAACACCTCCATATTTTGTCCAAACCCAGGATTAAGTTTAAGTATGCCTAAACACTCCATGATGATAAGCCAGCTTTAAACTTGCTAAGTTGTCTGACTTGATTTAATCAGGTTCCCAATCTTGGACATTACACGAAACTTCCTGGTTTGATGACCTATTTCTCTCATGTAAAGGAAAGAATGAAATGAGAACACTGTGATTTCTTAAATTAACATTTCACTTAGCATATTCTACAGACTAGTAAAAGAATATTTAGTAATACTTTTGCAGATCAATATCAGGAGCAACTAAGAGATTCTGATCAGAATATGTTTTCTATCTCATTTCTTTTGGGGGTGTGGTAAGAGAGAAGAGAAAAAGTGGGAAGAACAACCCATTTCTGCAGAAGCATTGTTGCAATGTCACACACACACACACACACACACCCCACACACACCCTATGTTCTACCCCACTCTTCACCAGGAGAAGAGCCTTTGTGACAATGAAGAAGTCACTGAAAGATGGCAGGGAATATGTCACACGTGAGAGAGAATCTGTGACACGCAGGGCAGCCTTTCCTGTACCAGGATGCTTATAAAATGGCAGATGGGCTGCTGGAATGTAGCAAAAGGAATGAGAGGAGGGGGGGACTTCTGGGTTTCTCTTCAACTTTTCTGCTTCCGTGAATTCTCTCAAATATCTTGAGCTAGCAGAGCATTTGGAGTAATGAAATGCAAATGAGCGCAGTACTTCCACTCCAAGGGTCTATTAAGCTGAAGTGGGGCTTACTCAGGCCATGGGTGGGCGCAGCCATCCAGCAGACTCTGCCCCCTCCCTGACATCTTCTCGGTCTCTCTGCTCCCTCCTTCCCTCCGCTCGTCTGTATGAAATTCCAGGTCTGTGAGCAGCCAGCTCTGTCCAATTTTCATTTCACACATCGTTGCCATTGGAAAATGGATACAATAACACAGGCAGGGGCAACCAAGCTGCAGCTCTCACCTGCTTCGGCTTCTTCCCCTCCCTCCCATTGTGTCTCGGGAGAAAAGAGGGAGCCGAGGCAGGCGAGATGGATGGATTATAACGTTAGATACAGATAAAGGAGGCAGGATTCCTCCGCCCTTCCCACCGAAGTTGCAATTGTAAATTTTGTCTTACTTTGCAGGCAGCTTGGGTTGGGTTTTCACTTTAGGGGGTGGCAGAGAGAGAAAAATAGAAAAATAAATGCTTCTCTAAGAGTGGAGCTGGAAGGACAGAGAGATAAATACGGTGCGTGGTGACAGATTGCATTTCAGTGAAAGCTGCAATCATCAATTTAGCCACCCAGCAAGTTCCGTGTGATTGAATCAGCTGGGATTAGCCCAGGTAAAGGCGCTGGTTTGGCAATACTAATTATGCCTGGGCAAGTGCAGAGTGCTTTGGATTTAATTTTCCTCTATCTATTTTGGAGCTTTTGTAAATTGGGGGAAGAGGACAGACTTCCTACAGACATAGTACGTACACAGACATAGAAAGGAAATTATAGTGCCTTTGCCTTGTAAATGGAAGGTAAACAACCTTCTGTTCAGCCCTCGATTTTGCCCGTGTCTAAAAAGGTCTGTTTGTCTTTTCCCACAAGAGGTGATTGGTGTTTTTTGTACTATCTGCTTTTTCTCTCACCCGAGAGGCTACATTTCTTGTTCAAACAAGCATTGCTAGCTTGTAAAAATAGAAAGGGGAAAGGCATCTTGAGCAGGAAGTCCTGGCTGGGTAGCAAAAAGAAAGAAAAGTAGACCATTCCATTCCTCCCTCCCTCCCCCATTTATATAGCCACCCATCTCACTATAAAGTGACTCAAGGCAGCTTACAGTAAAAACAATCATAAAATCCAAATGTTAAAAACTACCATTAAAAAAACATCAGCAATATTATTATTAACAAGATAGTATAGTTAGTTGATGTTAAAAACAATGCAGCCATCTTATCAACTCACCATTGCCTTGAGATCCCCAGGCCTGCTGACACAGCCATGTTTTAAGGGACCTTCGGAAGGATGTCAAGGATGGGGCCAATCTCACCTCAGGGGGGACAATGTTCCACAAGGTGGGTGCCACGGCAGAAAAGGCCCACCTCCTGGGTCCTGCCAGATGAAACTCTTTCAGATGGGACCCACAGCATACCTCTTCGGTTGGCAGGCAGATGTGATTGGGTGGAGGTGGTCACTCAAATAATCCAGCCCCATGCCATGAAGGGCTTTAAAGGTCAAAAACAGCGCCTTGAATTGGACCCGAAAGCAAACTGGCAACCAGTGCAGCTTGCGGAGCAGAGGTGGAATGTGCCATTCTAGGGGCACACATAACTGCCCGCACTGCTGCATTTTGCACCAGCTGAAACTTCAGGATTCTTTTCAAGGGCAGCCCCATGTAGAGCGCATTACAGTAGTCTATTTGGGAGGTGACCAGGGCATAAGTGACTGTGAGCGGAGCCTCCCAGTCCAGGAATGGGCACAACTGGCGCACAACACAAAGCTGTGCAAAAGCCCTCCTAGCCACGACTGCCACCTGCTCTTCAAGCAGGAGTCGTGCGTCTAGGAGGACCCACAAGTTGCACACCAGGTCTGTTGGGGCAGTGCAACCTCATCCAGAGCCAAAGATGGCACAGTCCCTGAGCTGGAGGGCCCCAAAACCCAGAGCCACTCAGTCTTGACAGGATTCAGCTGAAACCTGTTCCACATCCAGGCCCCCACAGCCTCCAGGCACCGGGATAGGACATCCACAGCATCGCTTAAGTCGCCAGGGGCAGAAAGGTATAATGGAGTATCATCAGTGTACTGATGATACCTCACCCTCTGGCGATGGATGATGTCACCTAACAGCTTCATGTAGACGTTAAATAGGAGAGGGGAAAGCACTGATCCTTATGGAACCCCACAGTGTAGGGACCAAGGGCGGGATCTCTCCTCTCCAATCACCACCAACTGGAAATGACCCCAGAGAAAGGAATAGAACCAGCACAATACAGTGCTGCCCACCCCCAACCCCTGGAGCTGACTCAGAAGAATACCATGGTTGATGGCATTGAAGTCCACTGAGAGGTCAGGCAGAGCAAGGATGGCTGCACAACCTCCATCCCATTTCCACCAGAGACCATCCAGAAGGATGACCAGCATGAATGCTGTTTCCGTCCCATATCTAGGCCTGAAATCTGACTGAAAGGAGTCAAGATAATCCACTTCATCTTCCAACATTTGTTGGAAATGTAATCACCAAGAGGGGTCATTTTACCATATGTGGTGGACATGCAAAATGGCAAAGAAATTTTGGATTCAAATACAAATGTTGATGCAGAGCATACTACAAATAAGAAATTTTGGATTCAAATACAAATGTTGATGCAGAGCATACTA